TGTTCAGTCATAAATTACTCGTCACCCAGTGAAGGTCTTTGGATCCTAGACTCATGGTATGTATGTATTATGACTAATTTTCCATACTTTTTGACCCATGCTTGTAATATCATTTGATTCCGTAGAAATTGAACATAGAGTATCTCCAGTCCACATAATTGTACAGATCTGCCATTCTCTAGCTATTTTACTACATATTTATGTGTGTTGAAGCCTGTAAGCATTTGTGTGGTGGAATCTTTTCCTTTGCTAACACTTTGTGCTTAAATTTACACTTCTTATGCTTGTTTTTTGCAACTCATGCTAAGATCTAAATTTGTTTCTAAATCTTGATACAATTAAATAAACTTCATTCTATAGAAAAAAATTCAGCATTGTTGTTTGACACAAATCACGGTGTGGAGGTAATTACACAGCCAACGGAAACGAATTGGGATATTACATCTTATTTTTTCTGACATTTGCGTATGCTTACAGAGATAGTTTCCTTAGCTAAGTGTTTTTGGCTACTAGGTTTGTGGAATTTTTTTAGAGGCTTCATACAATAAAGAAAAGGAGGAATATGTAGTTTCATTTTTTTGTTCAAAGTAGTGTTATGTCATGTTTAGCAAGTTGCATCTACTGTTGGTACTCCTACAAGAAGATCTATTGAAGAAGATGTTTTGTCATTTGATTCTTACCATTAGCAAAACACCTCCACTGAAGCCAGCGGAATGGAGTTAGAAGTCATAGAGAGGAATAGCAGTGGCTGCTCTCTCATAAGTTCACAAAAAAGCATAATAGTACTCCTACAAGAAGATCCAGCAACTCCAATCTAATAGATTATATGCCTTTTGGTACAATTTCTAATGTTAAAGCCATCTACATAATGGTCTAAGGGTAAACATTCATGGGTAAAACGCACAATAGTTTGATGTATGATGCAAAGTTATATAAAATTTACATCTGCAAAAACATTGTCCCAAGTAATGATCACATGCATTATGTTGTTGGTTGTTGGTCATTGGTCAGACATCTCGAAACAATATAATGATTCATTAGTTAATGTTGCTAACCCCTCCAAATGAAATAATATAAGGCAAGATGAATTTAAAATTTCTGTTATGATTAAACTCTGTTAATGTCTAATTTATTTTGTTGAACGTTTGCTTAATTTTTAGAATCTTTTATAGTATTCCTTACATAGTGAAACAAACACATACATTGTTGAAAATAGAGCATGGGCAAGGAACTCATGACAAAATAAATTGTTCGTATTTAATGGATTTCGAAAATAAATTAAATTTGGGTTACTTTTCAGCTCATTAAAAACCCGTAAGTTCTCTTGTTTAGAAGATGAAAATCAAATTTTTTTTTATTTTTACACATTTAAAAAAAAATTAAAAACAATAATCTCATGAATTTTACTTTTTCCGCGCGGCAACGCGCTGATTTGTTTCCTAATTCCAGTAATAAAAATGTTGTGAGTAGCTAGTAAAACTGTTTTATAAAAACAAAATTTTAAAAATGCCACTTTTGAAGTACCACTTTTCAAAAATGCCACATTTTCAAAATTTTTGCAAAAATGCCACTTTTTCAAAAAAAAAAGTTTATTATATCATATATGTTTGGATTAACTATGTTGTATTAAGGTTAAGTTTCGAGGGTTTAAAGGGTTTTAGGGGTCAAAAAAGTTTTTAGGGTTTATAATTTTAAGATTTAGCCTTTAAAAATCTATAATTAGTGGTATTTTTGTAAATGGACACTCCTATGTGGTATTCTTGCAAATGTGCATATCAAAAGTGATATTCTTGCAAATGTACACACCAAAATTATGAACTTGTCCCCACCGAGTTTTGCAGATAAAGCTACCGTGCTTGCCGTTTTGTTCCACCGAGTAATCATGTTCTTCTCTGTGCTTTGATCTTTTGTTATTTAATAATCATAATCCCAAAATTTTTTTGATTGTTTATTGATAATTATTCAGAAAAAGAGAATATTCGTTCATAGTTAATTTCTGCCATTCTACTAGTCTTACTATTACGACGTATTAATATATTGATGACAAGCAAAAAAAAAAGTTTCAAGAAAGAATACTTAAAAGAATGTAAATATCATATAAAATGAAGATGTTTAGGAATTACAAAAGAGCATTACCTAGACACAAAAGCAACCTTGGCAAAAAAAATAATTAATGATGCCCATTGTTGTAAGGCATAGGTTGGTAAGTATTGTTCCACGATCTCCGTGGACTATAATTGTCTCCACCGAAAGATTTCAATCTCATGAAGAGATCGTGTTTGGTGACTCTTAGTATAGGAACCGTACCAATGAGACAACCTAAGCCATTCTCCCATAAATGACCAATATTTTGTTACTAATTGTCTCTCTTTGCATTTTTAATCATTCGGGACACGACATCAGTCGCCTCTACACGTTAAATTTTGTAATAAGTTGATAAAACAGTCAAACCAAAACTAAATTTCAAGTAAAACTAGAATCCTTCCTCTTGATTTGATTTTGCATATTTAAAAATAAAAATAAACTTTGGTTAATTAATAAGAGGATACATATAAGAGCACTATACCTTATACTGGAATTAGTGGTTTTCCATGGATGGGTTGGTCAAACAGAGTTATGAGTCTCTCGAAATTTAGTTGAGACGTTCTTTTGGAATGGAAATCTAGCCAAATTCTCATTTCTGACTGGTTCTGAAAAAAGTGGTACCGTTTCAGTTAGATGAGACCTTGAAGATAAATCAATAAAGAAATTGGTATTTGTGGGCGTCCGAATGATTTTCGGTTCAGGTTCGATCAATATGAAAACTGAAAACCTTGAAAATCTAATTTCAGGTATGCGAATTCCCTTGGAACTATTATACATTGGTATAATATTTTAGGAGATTGTAGAATATGTTGAGTGGTTAAAATATTTTGAATGTAAAAAATAATTAGACTGTAAATTACGAAGAGGTAATCTGATCCCATAATTTTGAATGTAAACAATATTTTTTTCCGGTGACCGATTTGTGGTTAATTTAATTAGTAACCAAAAAATTTCGTGACCATATTCCTGTCTAGATTGTAGTTTTCTTGTAATGAGCAAACGATGTGTGTGTCCATAAAAGAAACACATAATAACCACATAATTGGGCTTGAATTGACTTTGTTGTGGCCCAATATGTCTTCTTTGTTTTTGTCGATACTCTGTTTACTCTCA